CTCAAAATATGGACGTTCACTTCCCATATGTTAAAATGTACAAAAAATGTACATTCATTTGTATGTAATAAAGAAATTATAAAAGTATCGAATCAATGAAATAACACGAAACACCTTTTACATTTTGCCACTGTGATAATAATTATAAGAACTATTACATGTACCCCCATTTTTCAATTCCAACTAATTTATAAGCATAGCCTAATTTGAATTAATCTAACTTTTTAATTCTGTCCAGGAAAAGTGTACTGTACTTGCAAAACACATACTGATATATCTTTATTAATTGAGACATTCGACATAAAATTTTGCAAAGAACACAAAATTTTAATACAACAGTAAATTGTTTAAAATATATAGTTTAATATGCACCTCATCTTATCCATGTTATTATAAAATAATCAACACAGTTTGATATGTGCCAAGTTTTAAATGAATAATCTACAGGGATGGACCCAGAATTTTTGAAAAAGAGGGTGGTGGGGTTACTCCCCAATATTTAAATAAACAACATATATACTGCTGAGAAAAAAACTTTTAGTTTATGGGGGATTGGAAATCAAAGTTTTCCCCGTGAAACAGTGCACAACCAAAAAATGTACATAAAATGTTTAAAGAGTTCATATTTGTTTTGTATGTTTTATTAATTTCTTTAAAAATTCAAGCCAGATAAACCTAGTAGAAGCATGCACAGTACAATCAGGAATTAGTGAAAAACACATTTGGGGGGAAACAAGTATGTAACAACATGAATACTCAAACAAGCATGCAATCTGCAAGTATTGTATGGCAATAAATAGTCCCCTACCCGTTAAAAATTCATTGTATTGCCTATTGGAACAAAATTCTTATTTGATCTATAACTTTGTCATGGAGTAAACTGTATAACAAATATCAAGTCAATATATCCAAGCATGACGAAAAAAGGTGTTGAAAACTGATTATTTAAGTGAATTTTCTAAGTCAAAGGATCATAACTCTGCACAAAATCATCAGACCGGGACAAAATTCAAACTTGATATGTTACTTGTCATGATAAAACTATGTTCCAATTTTCAAATCAATATCTTTAAGCATGACGAAAAAAAGTGCAGAAAACTGATTATTTGAGCGAAATTTTCGAAGTCAAAGGACCATAACGCTTGCATAAAAACCAGACCGGAACATAATTCAAACTTGATCAGTACATGTAACTTGTCAAAATATAACAATACACCAAATATCAAATCAATATCTTCAAGCATGAAGAAACAAAGTGTGGAAAACTGATTTGTCGAACTGACGGATGGACAGACAGACGGACTGAGTGCAAACCTAGTCCCTTTCGACTTCGTCGGTAGGGGACTAATAATCTAAACTAACAATCATGACAATAGAGTAAATGAAAATTCTGTTTGCAAAAGAAAGAAACTCCTGCCTTTTTTTTTACGAAAAATCAAATGGTCATTAGTATTAATTTACTTATGGTGTCTGATGTAGACAACATTCTGTATGTATGTGCCTGTCCCAAGTCAGGAGCCTGTAATTCAGTGGTTGTCGTTTGTTGATGTGTCACATGTTTGTTTTTAGTTCATTTTTGGTTCATAAATTAGGCTGTTAGTTTTCTCTTTTGAATTGTTATACATTTGTCATTTCGGGGCCTTTTATAGCTGACTATGTGGTATGGGCTTTGCTCATTGTTGAAGGTCGTACGGTGACCTATAGTTGTTAATTTCGGTGTCATTTGGTCTCTTGTGGAGAGTTGTCTCATTGGCAATCATACAACATCTTCTTTTTTATATATAACACAACTGCCAAGCCGCAAATAAATGGTGATTTAGTCAACACACAAGGAGTCGATTTAAAAAAAAAACTCACAACTAACATTGATCGTATATGAATTGTTTATGACTTACATTGTACTATCGATCTTAGTTGTAAGTTTAATTTGAAAACGACTCCTGGACCCTAAGTGGTCTGTAAATAATGTGTCATAACATTTACCACAAGTACATTGTACAGTGAACATCACTCATTTTAGTGTGGGTATTGCTGTGTTTGCTTATTCCACATTGTGTAGAGGTATAGTGGAGGGTTAACATCTGACAAAACATGTTTAACCTAGTGAAATATTGTTTGCGCCTCACCCTGTCCCAAGTCGGGAAATTCTGGTCTTTTTTAGTCTTGTTTTTGGATTTTCTTGCTGTGTTGAATACCCATCATAGATTCATACCCATGGTGGCTTTGGGTCATTTTCTGCTATTTGGTCGTCGCATTGTTGTCCTGACATATTTCCCCGTTTCCATTTTCAGTTTTATATAATTCATTTAATGTTTGTCCCTGTTTTTTGTTTTTTCCCCCCATTTCCGTAAAAAAAATAACTTTCAAATGATTTTATGGTCGTGAATCACTCTTGTACTGGGATCATTCGCAGACGATGTAAATTATATGGCGAAGAATCTTCAATAAATGAAGGATCGCTAGAAACTTAAAGAAGAATTACTTACATTATTCATTGTTTGTTTACAAAATATTACATACATTTTACGCATATTTCCGGGTCCTTTTCTAGTGTAAAACAAGTGTGAAACTGCTTCATAAGCTACTAAAATGAAGATCGTGTTCTAATATTTTCGATCTGCGTTTCAGTATTCATGAAAAGCAGCCCACGTGTTCGATTATTGTGATTTATCTTGTGTTTATCTTCTCTCGCCGGCAAGAACATGCCATTACCACAAAACGGAAGTGCATTTGCAACAATGAAAATAGCAATAATAAATTTTAGTAAATTCTCGAATTACAGTTTTCAATTACAACATTCTTTTGTTATATATTTAGATAAAATAGATTCAAAATTAATTATCATTTACAATTACGACAATAGGTATGACTTGCGATATCGATGCGCAACTTCCTGCGCAATTGGCGCGAAAATTTGAACCCGCGAGCCCCCTTAAGTTTATATTCATCATTTTAAAGGGAATCACTTAAGATAGTTCAGCGGTATTTGGTATTTGGTATGCATTTGTATTTGCATTATATGTTTTTCACGAAGGGTATTTTGGCCCTGCAACTTTTCATGCTTTGTCATGGTTCATTGAAATTGCTTGATTGATTGGTTGTTGGTTGCTTAGCGTCCAGTGTCAAATACTTCATACATGTTAAGGGCGAGAACAAATTAACCTTGCAACTGGTAGGTCCTGTTATAGAGGCCGGGCGTCCGGGATGAAGGTCGGGGAAATTCTGCCACTGGAAATGAGAGTATATTGGATAGAGATAAAACTTTTGCATTGACATTGGGTGTTTTATAAAAAAAAAGTGGTATGACTGCCAATGAGATAACTCTCCACAAGAGACAAAATGACACAGAAATCAACAAATATCTATAGGTCAACGTATGGACTGTAACAATGAGCAAAGTCCATACCACATAGCCAGCTATAAAAGGCCCCGAAATGACAAATGTAAAACAATTCAATATTTTCCAATGTAATTTCGTATCAAAATAGAGGCGAGATATATCTTTGTGTCAACAGTTTATTTTAAATCATTATGCCGCCATTATGCCCCTTTAACACAATTGAGGAGCTTCTACTGTTTTGGTCGGTCTGTAAGTCAGTCCCTACCGTCGGTACACATTCATGACATTACAACCATTCCACACACCACATAAAGTTGACATATTTGTACCTGATAAACTGAAAAAGCACAAAAAACTTATTATTGAGAATATACAATGAACCATAAAAATGAGGTCAGGGTAAGATGAAACCTGCCTGACAGATATGTTAACCTTGCAATAATTCCATAGACCGAATATAGTGATAAGTTACAGGAGTTGAGAAATAGACCAATCCACAAAAAATCAACATTGTCGGAATGTCCACCATACATTCTATATATATATATACATATATATATATATACAAGTCTAAATTGAAAACAACGTTCTATCCTATGATTGCGTTGGATAAAAACCGCAATTTTTATACGTGTGCATGCAAAACAAATTTCTTGGTAGAGGGGTCTAAATACAGCACAAACAACATTTTCCAAAAAGACCAAATGAGTGAAAAAGTATATTTTAACAAAACGCATTTGACTAGCAGGTCGAACAACTGATGTTCTCAAACCCTGCTGACTGCCATTGGCGATTGCCAAATAAACGGATCACCGATGTAATAAATGGATCTCAATTATAAATTTAATACTAAACAGAAAATAATAAACTTGCGGAAAAGATGGTATACCGCAAACAAATGGTGCAAAGGTTTTGTACACCATATCCGGATTTCGACAATTAATGTCTCTTCAGTGATGTTAGGAATCGAAACGGTATTTGGAAGGCCATATAATTTACCTCAATTTAGGATAGACTCTTGAATTTTGAAAGAGTCAAAATAGGATGAACGGATCATATAAACCCGAAGGCAAATATAATATAAGCCCAAACGAAAAAGTATAAACAAGTCTAAATTGAAAACAACGTTCTATCCTATGATTGCGTTGGATAAAAACCGCAATTTTTTATATATATATAAAGCATGAAATAAATAGTCAAGGTCATATAAAATCCTACCAGACAGGCTTTTCATATACACCCTACAATCATACCATACACCAAATACAGCTGTTATTTTGTTTATCAAGTTTACAGCGTCTGTAAACAGACCTAGCCACAAAAACTTTTAAAACATTGATTAATGAACCATGTAATTGAAATCAATTTCAGTATGACATCTCAGACGAAAGCTACCAGTCGGACATACACGCCTTTCAATCATTCCATATACCACTTGCACTTGGAAACTTAACCATATGAGGTCAAGAGCATTGGACATATGACAGACGAAAACTCCCGTGATATAAGACATCTGCATACAAGGAATGAAGCATCGCGGTCTTCTCCCTTATTAAATATAAAGCATCTTAAAAAAAGTTTACGCCATCGCTGCCGCCGGAAAATAATCCCTATATATGTCTCGCATTTTGCGATAAAAAAAAGTCGTAGGCGAATTAAGTACAGTGCATACATGTATATGATATACATTGGATAAAGATATATTTAAAAATATTAAAAATTGTTAATTCATTCCATTTCTGCGACACGTCTTCCAAAATTTGGTCATCAATAAACTATGTATCACAAGAATTACTCGAATCACATACAACTTTCTTTTTGTGTGTTTTCATATGTTTTCTCATTTCCCTTCCCCCAATAAATCGTTTACCACACTCATCGCACATGTACGGTTTATCACCAGTGTGTATTTTAATGTGTACTTTTAAATACCGACTGCGACTGAAATGTTTTCCACAATAAGAACACTTGTAGGGTTTTTCACCTGTATGCGTTCTCATGTGTAATTTTAAACTGCTGATAAACGTGAATTCCTGCCCACAAATTTTACATGCTGCTTTTTCTCCTGTGTGAACTCTCCTGTGAATTTTTAAGCTTTTCTTCATCGCAAATCGTTTACTGCATAAATCGCATTCAAACTGGTCTTCGAACGAGTGAGTTCGTACATGATTTTCTAAGGGTGCCCAGAGCTTGAATGTTTTACCACATATATTACACTTAAAAGGTCTGCTGCTGGAATGTGTTATCATGTGTGATTGTAAAGAAGGCTTTGTCATAAATCCTTTACCACATTCGTCGCACTTAAAAGGTCTTTCACCAGAATGTAGTCCTAAATGTGACTGTAAATGTTTGTTTTTCATAAAACCTTTTCCACATTCCTTGCACTCGAAAGGTTTCTCTTCTGAATGTTCTCGTAAGGTATGTGTCTGAAATCTGCTTTCATGACAAAACTCTTTTCCACAATCCTTGCACTTGAAAGGTTTATAGGTGGATTTTCTTTTTGTCGGTATATGTTCCGTTTGACCAATTCCTTTATCAGCATCAGTTTTATGTGTTCCACCATTACATGTTCCCATATGTTCCAATTTGTCTTGACAATTATCTAACTTATGAACGACTTCGTCACATTTAACAGGTTCCTGGTTTGTTATACACGTGTTCGTTTTCAAGTCCGTTTGTAAGTGTGACGTATCATTTTCATCATGTTTAGAAGATATTGCATCAGTCGGAATTGGTATAGGCTCAAACTCTTGAGAACTCATATTACGTGAGACAAAATTGGGTATGTGTTCCATTTTACCCATTTCTTTACCATCATCACTTTTATGTGTGTAATCATTTGATGTTTTCATATGTTCCAATTTGTCTTCATCTAGTTTATTAACCACTTCATCACGTGTAAGAGCTTCATGACTTGTCATAAAGGTGTTTATTTTCGCGAACGTTTGTAAATGTGAATTTGCATTTTCTCTGCATTTAGAAAGTTCGGCAGCAGTCGGAATTGGACCAGGTTTAACTTTACGAGAACACATGTTACCCAAGACACAATTGGGTATCTGTTCCGTTTGACCAATTTCTTTACCATCATCACTTTTATGTGTGTAAACATTAGAAGCTTCCAATTGTTCCAGTTTGTCTTCAAGGTCATCTAGCTTACTACATGTAACAACTTCATCAGACATTAGAGCTCCCTGATTTGAAATAAATGTGTTTGTTTTTGTGTACGTTTGTAAGTGTGAAGTACCATTTTCAACACATCTAGACGATTTTTCATCAATTGGAATTGGTTCAATTTTATCCTCATCAGAACATATGTTACTCGAGACAAAATGGAGTTTTTGACTTTCATGAATATGTACACTTTTCTCATGCCGTATTAGTTTATTTCTTTCAATAAACCCTTTCCCACACTTATTACACACGTAGGGTTTATCACCAGTATGAATGTGCATGTGTCTTGACAAATGTGGTTTATGATTAAACTGTCTTCCACATATTCCACATTTAAAAGGTTTTTCATCAACCGGAATTGGTTCAGTTTTTATCTTATCAGACCACATGTTACTCGAGACAAATTGGAGTTTTTCACTTTCATGATTGTGTATTCTTATATGTCGTTTTAAGCTGCATTTCTCGATAAAAGCTTTCCCACACTTATTACACTCATATGGTTTATCACCAGTATGAATGTGCATGTGTCTTGACAAATGTGTTTTTTTATTAAACTGTCTTCCACATATTCCACATTTATAAAGTTTTTCGCCAGTATGCGTTATTATGTGTGATTGCAATATGTTAAGATTACAAAACTCTTTTCCAGAATCATTGCCCTTGAAAGGTTCATCGGTAGATTGAGATTCCATGTGTTCCGGTATCTGTTCCACAACATCTTCATCACTATTAACAGTTTGATATGTTCCATCATTTGATGTTCCCATATGTTCCAATTTGTGTTGACAATCATCTAACTCATTAACGATTTCATCAGATTTAAGAGGTTGAATTGTAACAACTGTGTCTATTTTCGCGTACGTTTGAAAGTGTGAAGTACCAATTTCTGTACATTTAGAATAGTTTTTATCAATTGGAGTTTGTTTGGTTGTATTCTCCTCAGAGCAAATGATACTTGAGACGCAATTGAGTTTTTCAATATCATGTCTATGTTTCCTAATATTATGGCGATTCAACTCGGATTTGTCAATAAAATCTTTCCCACACTTATTACACACGTATGGTCTTTCACCAGTGTGTATTTTGATGTGTCGTGACAAATGTGGTTTATGATTAAATCTTTTACCACAAACTTCGCATTTAAACGGTTTTTCACCCGTATGTGTTTTCATGTGACCCTTTAATGTTGCACTAGTTTTAAACACTTTGTCACATATATTACATACAAAAAGGTTGTCAACAGAAGGTTTTACAAAATTACTCCCATGAGCGTTTATGTCTCGATGATAAGAAAACGTCTTATTTGTATCTTCACATTCAGAAGATGCGTCACTTGTACAAGTTGTAAGAGATATATGTGTTTTCAAATGCTTTTTCATGCATGTATTATATTTAAAAAATAGACTACACACAGAACATTTGTAGCGGTATTGATCATTACCATTTTCACTGGTGTGTTTTTTCATATGTCGTTCCAAATCCCTTTTCTCAATATATCGATTCCCACACTCGCTGCACACGTAAGGTCTTTCACCAGTGTGCAATTTCATGTGTCTTGACAAATTTTTAGTACGATTAAAACCTCTTCCGCATACTTCACAATTAAACAATTTTTCTCCAGTGTGTATTCTCGCGTGAGCCTTAAGAGCCCCATTTACATTAAACTCCTTTCCACATACGTCACATTTATAGGGCCTTTCGCCCTTGTGTGCTCTTATGTGTACTTGTAATGTGGTATATCGATGAAAACATTCACCACATATATCACATTTATATCTTCCAGTGATATGAGTTTTCACGTGTTCCCGTAGATGCCTACTCTGACTAAAATTTTCACCGCACAAACCACAAGCGAAAAGGTTTTTTTCGTCATTTTCCATCACCTCTATATTAATGTAATACTATTTTCGCCCCTTCTTAAGAGGTCCCCCAGGTTACAGTCGCTTCTAACATACGTAATTATAGTCCATTTGATCGTCCTGAAATAGAAGGGGGAAAAATCACTTAAATAAAGATTAATTCAAAATCCGAACAAATCATTGATAACTTCGTATTAATAAAAGTTAAAATTCGAACCCGAAATGAATTAAAAACAAACAGTTGTCGAAAGTATTATTACAGACTGACGGACTTAAAAACGCAACACAGATTTTGATAACTTTTTTTACCAAATCATGATTTTACTTCATATCCATTTTTAATTGTCATTCATGCTTACCATACTTCTTTATGTTTAGACAAATTCATTACTTGATTTACCTGACTTACTTGACTTACCGGAAGTAATTGAACACACCGGATTATTGACGGCGCGTAAACTTTTAAACGTAAATGTTTCTTTGGATCCATACCAATACTTAATTCAGTAAAACAATGTTAAATTTTCATATTAGCGGGAAGAAGCAATACAAATCTCAATAAGGCCATACGAACTTGCTTAGTATGCATGAATTCGTCAACGTGCTAGACAGTTCCACAACAGAAAGTTTTCTTACAGTACTTTCAACAGGAGAACGGGATTTGTAACACACTTAATGACCATCACGACAAGATCAATCTGTAGTGGCATTATTCATTCAAGGACAAGAACATGTTAGTGTAATATGATTATTACAATGTAACACAGTTTTATACTAGACCAATGTGCTGAGCCGGCTTTTGAAAAATTTAATTCCCAGTTCACGATGTTACAGTCCGCAGGAAGACATGTCACCTTATCCGGAGACATTATTCTGAAGCCAAGTCGACCAGTTTTTGCTCTTTATTCTTAATGCCGCGTGATAAGGGAAGAATCAGCAAATACCAATGTCGATTTCTTTGGTTTGACCCGGTCATGTGACAAACCCACGAGCTCCCGACCTCGAGTCGAACACGCTATCGCAAAGCCCATATCGTTTATTAGTCTGCTATAAAATGGCCACAAATGACAAATATGAAACAATTTAACAAAAAAAACGACAACTACTAAATTACAGAATTACAGGCTCATGACTTGGGACAGGCAGATACAGAATGTGGCGGGGTTAAACTAGTTAGATGGTGCTAAACCCTCCCATAACCTGGGACAGTGGTGCAACATCACAACACAAGAACACATTATACAAAAATAAAACGAATAACAAATATGAAAAACAGCAAGAATGAACAGCAACCACTTAGCTACAGTCTCCTGAGTTTAGACGGACACAAGTAGAATGTGGCGGAGTTAAGACTAGTTTGAAAGCGCTAACCCTATCCCTAATTGCGCTGCTGCTTTGAACAACAAAAAGGTAGAGTTCAGGTAGAAAAATAAATAAGATATGACCTAGTGGAGGAGTTTTCTGTTTGTTTTCTGATATTTTCTTTCAGTAGAAAACAAACTGAGGATATGGGGTATCCATCCATTTTAACAAAGTACGTTGCTATTTGTTATTTAACTTTTTTCTATCTGCCGTTTATACCATCAATCTTTGCATTCCAAAAACAAACAAACAAATGGAAAATAAAATGGTTTGAATTCATAACGCAAAGTCATAGGACTATATAAGAAAAAAACACATTGAAAATGTATCCAAGAAAGATAACTGCATGGACGACAGACTACACACTAAATTAACCTACTACATCGTTGTACATCGACGATAAGTGTGTGTGTACAGTGCGACATGAATATATCGTAAGTCCCTCAAGGCTTCCCATACTGTATTTGATAGGACATCATTTCCACACACTCGTTTTGAATTTGTAAGAAAATTGCTTGACAATGTTTAATATCTCGGTACTGATCTTATGCATTGTCGTTATCCCATGTTAAACTTTATGAAAATAAAGATACAACATAATTATATAATAAAAAAATCAACAAAATACACACACACCAATGTTTTAAGTAATCAATAATCAGATAAAACTACAGATTTATGTTCGAGTGTACATAAAATGTGAATGTGTTTGTTTGTACAGGTACACCTGTAAAAATGTGAAAGTGTTTTAACCGTACAAATACATGTAACGTTAATATTAATATAGATGAAACAATCATTAACTTTATTTGACATATTAATTGCCAGTGTTAGGAAAAGTAAAAATGCACACTTACAATCAACAATGTATTTTGGTTAAAATATTTAGGACGTCAACATACATCGGGACCCTCCTTCTCTTGCAAAAATGACAATTTAACAGGTGAATGATCTACAGAAAATAAAAGGCGGGATATTTGAAGTATGAACAAACGAAAATAAGAAAAACCCTCCTTCCTACAAGTTTTATATTAACAAATCTTTATTGAAAAGCGCTTTAAGCCCACATGGGCCAATGGCTTAAAACATAAAAAATTCTGATCCACAATTTGATGAAAAAAATATTTTGGACAGGCAGATGACAAAAAACATTCTGAATCCAGATTTTCCCAAATGATTTGATGATATAGCGTCGAAGAACTATATAAAAAAATTCTGACTCAAGTGAGAAAAAAAATGACCCCCCTCCCCTTTTGAAGTTAAATGGTTGGCTTGCTCTCTAATACTAATGCTAATATGCATTTATCTTTACTACTAAAATAACGAGGTCCAATTTCTTAGCCCGCCGGTCTATACTACTAAAATAACGAGGTCAAATTTGTTAGCCGGCATAACGTAAAAACCGACGACAAATCATAGAATTTTACTTTATAATATATCATAATGTATAAAACTAATATATCTTATAAAGTATTTTCCACCTTATCAGTGGCGGATCCAGAGGGGGGCGTAGAGGGCGAACACCCCCCCCTTTGCTTGCACTTTTTTTTTTTTTGTAAAATGATTAATCAGACTAGACTTCGTGAACTTTGCCATTTCCCGTGTATTTAATTTTTATGCGACAGTTCTTTACTTATAAAGATATTGTTCGCTCGTATTTACTGTAATATATTATTAAGTCATGTGATTCTCTACGGTGGAGTTGACCAGTTCGTCGAAAAAAACGTCACTCAGTCATTTTGAAATTCAAATTACAGTAACACATTGCTTAGGCTGAGGATGACAAGCATGACGCCTTCAAAGTGACAAAGTATTGAGCAAGAACGCATTGACTTCTATTTCACAATCCAACCCAACAGAAAGTAATATTCTATTACACTCTAATGAAAAAATAGTTCCACAGCAATATTATTTACCTACGAAAACATGTTTAACCCCACACGCCCCAGCCCATTAATAGCATTGCTGAATAGTGACCCCAGTCAGTAAGCTCTAGATATAGATTTAAAGTCTAAGGTACGGACCATTTGATCTGAGGGGGCAGTCTGAGATATTTTAGAGAAAAAATTCTGACCCGGATTTTTGCCTTAAACAAAAATTCTGGCCGTATCTGGATTGAAAACATTAATCTTGTCCACTTTTTTGCTATTAGTAAAAAATATTTTCAACAGAATTATTTAGCATTAAATGAACATGATGAATAAAAAACGGGCGAAATTTTTTTTTGGGGGGTTGCATGTGAATCCCATATCTGACCGGAATGTCTGTTTCGTCGAACTGATATACTGAATACTTTTTTCAAGGCCCGACTGCAACCTGCCTGCTGGGTGTGGCCTATATGTCTCCATGTGTCGACCGTCATTCACAACTTCATTGTCATTTCCGACTCATTCGTAGCCTTTAGTTCATTTGGAACCCCTCACTTCCCTTGTTAGGTGAAACATTTCAACCAAACATTTGGATGAAAATTGCTTGTTTGTCTTTCTTCGTGTCGGTCGTATTGAAAATTTCATTGAATAGCCGTATATCTTGTTTACAACAAGAAATCTGTGAGGTTATGCTAACTAACCATACAACAAACGAGACAAATCCCACATCAAATATATTAATTAGTACATAGCTTTGGATTCATCCAATCATTTCATAATAGACAATTGATGGAGAGAATACGGCACCAAAAATATCTAACTCCTACACTTTAACTATAAAATGCATTTTACACTTATTTTATGTTTTTTAGCCAAAAAAAGGTCCAAAATTATTTAAAACAATTAACACACCCTTAAATGAATTCACAACGTCAAATATATACGCTACACAATGCACATAAATTAAATTACAAGGTGAAGTTCCTCATTCACAATGTATAAACAAAATGTCTTATAACAGAATATATATACACAATGTCACTATGCAATCACTATGCAACATGTATTAAGCCTGATTATTCACAATGTCACTAATATATCACTATGCAACATGCATCAGACAAATATCACACAAAACGTATGAACACATTAGCACATATATACAACATCTATTAACAATATCCACCAATTTGTAATATCACCTTATGAATGTTTAATTAACCACAATAACACAATGACACAATGACACTTGCACAATGCTTCAATGCACAAGGAATTTATATGAACACAGCTCAACTCACACACACTAATTATCACTATGAATCAGAACGAAATGAATATATTCCAAACTGGTAAGATTAAACACAGTGCACTTTCACTAATACACTTCCACAATATAACAACTTGCAACACCAGCAAGTATACACCTTGTATTCTCACTAATACACTTCCACAATACAACAACTTGCAACACCAGCAAGTATACACCTTGTACTTTCACTGTACAATAACTTATTATATAAGTTCACTTTATAACACAATCACTATTCCAAATATTCACATATAAATCCAAACACTATTTATATCCTTTGGAATCACTAAATTCACTCTACTTACCAGTTAGAATATATAATCCTTGAAGTTTACCCTTCAATGGTCCACATAAAACTGACCGAGTTTCTCTGTCTTGGGCTGGTTTATATACTACCATCTGGATCAGTCCATTATACTTAAAGGGGTGAAAATCAAGACTATACCAACTTTAGGGGTGTTTTAAGTAACAGATGGTGCTCCAACCATGGAGAAACTTATATACATATAGAAACACAATAAATAGGAAAAGACAACTGGTATTTCACATCAAAATAAATGAACTATGACCAATTTCCGTTACAGTGTTATATATGAAAACATACAGAAGAGCTATATTAAACCAGCGACAGTAACAGATCCAAATTTTCATTAGGGCGGGGCGGGGCGGGGGGGGGGGGGGGGGGGGGGGGGGCTGGGGGGTGCTGCTCCAGGAATTCTAGTCAAATCGGCACCTGGTTAAATCGGCACCCGGTCAAATCGGTACCCGGTATAGTCAAATCGGCACCTAGTCAATTTGGCACCTGGTTAAATCGGCACCCGATGAAGTCATTTCGGCACCCATGTTAGATATGTTTAATATATGTTTTTTTCGGTATTTTAAGCAAAAAGATTAAAATAAAGAAGGGGTTAAACAAGTATTGACTTATTTACATTTTTGGTGGATTTCTGTATGTATTTTTTTTCATTCAACTTAATGTGTATTCAAGGTATTGGATATTTTTTATGCATGTTTTAACTATAGTTGAGCATTTTGCATGATTGTTGGTTTAATGCTGTTTAAAGTTTCCTGAAAAACCACCTAATTTTCTCATAATTAAACAACAGCTTGGGTAATGGCTTCATTGTTTATTATTAAGTTTTTGAAGAAAAAACAGCAATAACTACATGTATAGAGTTAAAACAACAAACATGTTAATTATGTAATTGATAAAAGTTATTAATTAATTAATTGAAAAGAAAACTAATCAAAACATCAGTCATAGAATGTTGAGAAAACTTTAAACAATAAATTTTTATGTGTAAAAGATGTAATGAATGATAAAATCCAACCTCAAAAATAATTATAAATAGAAAGATCATTTATACATTTTTAGAATTATTTATATATATATATTATATCAAATATTATTGGATGCCGAATTGACTTTAAATAGGTGCCGATATGACTAGATGCCGATTTCACCAGGTGCCGATTTGACTTTTTCTATGGGTGCCGATTTGACTTGTACCCCTGCTCCAGTCCATGGCATAGGGACTTCAGTCTTGACTACAGGTCAAATATATGTAATATATTGTAGCGCATCAATCGTCTACATACATTTAAAAAAAAACGTATGCCCCTACTGTAGACGATTTATTGGCTATATATCTGATCTGTAGTCCAGTCCCTATATATGCTCCAGTCATGCCTGGGTGATTCCCTATATATCCACCAAATTTTCCCTACAAGAGGAGGTCCTATTTTATATTTTTGGTCATAATTATCTGGACTTCTGCTACCTATGATCCCATCATTAACATATGGTCGAAGGGGGTGGGGCTAGGGTGTTTGTTTCATCTTGAACACAGTTACAGGGTTTGGTACAGACATCTGGCAGTTGTTGTAAACCAGACACCCCATTCATATACATTTATTGTACAAGTATTTTTGTTTGCAAGAATCTGTACATATATACCCGTTGTTCATATAAATTTCAGAAGAAAATCATTACCCATTGATCCATAAATATATATTTTCCAAGCTATCATAAATATAAACTATGACGTCTTTAGATGTAACTAAACACCTGGATTCTTTCATATTATTGAACAAAAACATCAGTACACAATTTTACAGACATCTAAAATTATCATAACATTTAGACATGCTATCTGGCTATTAACTTTAACTGATTTTATAAATTTTTTGTAGTAATCCTTGCGTTCTGTTTATTTTTAAAGGAATGCATTGACCATACAAAAAGAATATATGTTTGTTTGCCCTAACCCTACCTACCCAAAACATAGCTGCCTACCCAAATTCTTTTATTGTTCTGATGTGAAAAAGTTTTCTTTTAATCTGATAGGCATGAAGACTAAAAAACATCTGACACTTCAATTTCCCTTTGCTGTGAGAAAAAAGAAAATGCCAAACAACCTACCCACTGTCTCTAAAATGTACCTTTGGGTAGGGTAAGGGCAAACTAAAATATTTATAAGTGTAGCCTTACAAATGTGACATCAAAATTTATCAGTATAAAATTATTTCAGGTTTAAACAGTCTTCTTGAAAACTTGGACATAATGACTTAAAAATCTGCTAAGAGGTGTGCAAATTGATCAGGGAATGCCCCACAAACCCTTTCTGTTAGTTAACATTTACAGTGTCCAGTTATGTACCCCTTTAAGTTTATTCTGTCCTTTTAAATTTGTGAATAAAGGAAGAATCTTTATTAATAATTTATATATATATATATATATGCTCATAAAAGGTAAATTTACAAATG